AGCTAGAAAATCCAGCAATTATCCAACTCCTCAGCCTAGCTTTGGAGTGGGATTAAGGGCTTGATTCATCTCAGTATCCACTCCTCTTGAAATCTTATGTCCTTAACACTTCAGAGACTTTGGATGATACTTTAAAGTAGCAAAATATGAATATGTGCTGGGATTTTCTTTAGGTATTTGTACATGTATAATTAATGACTTGTTTTTTCCTTGGGGAATTATGACTTAAATTATAAGAGGATTTATCTTGAGTGAGATGCAAAAGAGTTAGAACATTACAATTTTAGAAGTTTTCCAGCCAATTGCTTTTCAATTACAGGGTCAGTTGGTATACATCTCTTGTGCTTTATTTTTTTAGAAAAAAATGGGAAAATGCTTTAATTTATAGATCACACACATGTTTTGAGCACTCACTGGTAATTAAAACACACTTTACATCTAGGATGAGTCCAAAACATTTGTCCTATGTTGACCATAGTGATCATGTAACTATAGTGATAGGTGGATGTGTTTATCATCATGTTTACCTTACTGTAAGTAGCTGATTCTATTTCAAATATCTTAACAGGTTCTGTAGCCTGTTTCATTGACTAAGGCTGTTGAGGAGAGCAGTTTGGCCAATAATTTTATGATGTCTGTTTCTGATATCTAGGTACTGAATGGATATCAGGTACATTAATGAAGACTGATTCCTGAGCCTGGACACTTGGGGAGTTTTGGAATTTTCTTCCTTTTTAACATAACCTGACACAGATTTCTGAAGTAAATATTGCAATTTAGATGGCTCATTTGCAAAGTAAATGGAAGCATTGGAGAGGGCTTGGTTTGGAGTGATGTGAGGTGCTGACAGCCCAGGGCATTTTTTTAGGCCCATTTCTGAAGCTGTAGATGAGCATCTGTAATAAGAGTCTGTGCACTGAGGGGGGAGTACTGGAAAAGCAGAAGCAAGAGAGACTTTATGTGATGCCTTCTGCTGACTCACTCTGTTCCCCCAATTTCGCTTTTAAAAAAATATAGGCTAACAGAAGAAGGAAGAGTTGTTTGGCAGATGTGAAACTGCAGATTACCCCAAAGGGTTATGAAAAGGCATCTGCAAATATACTAAGTCAGTGGTGTGGGAGATCCTGAAAAAGATAAGTTTGTCGCTTCAGCAGAAGCAAGTTTCTGCAGCCCTGGAACATCAGAAAGCAGGAATATGGTGAACACGGTCAGTCACAAGGCATGAGGCAAGTCTCAGAGTGAAGGAATTTAGAGGACCACTGAGACAATAACAGGGTATCAGAAAGCATAACGTAGGTAGAGTCATTTTGTGTGCAGGCTTGCAAGAAAGTGTAAAGAGCTCATTTTTTATATCTTTAGGAACAGGAACCCAAGTACAAGATGTAAATAATCTTGAATGATGTGGTTGGAAGATTATTTGGGCAGTGACAGCGGTTAGGGTATTTGGCTTAAGTT